GTGTGTGTGTGTGTGTGTGTGTGTGTGTGTGTGTGTGTGTGTGTGTGTGTGTGTGTGTGTGCTGTGTGCTGTGTGTTTATGTATATAAAAACCCCAAATATTGGCTGCCAAATGCCATCTGATATGATACACTCAGGCTAATGCCGCAGATGATTTGTCGTTTAATCTGTTAGCCGTGCTGCCTAAAGGACCTACATACTTGGGGCTATATCCGTCCCTCTTTCTCTCTCATTGATCATGCAGGATCCATAGATAATGGATGGAGCTCTTGGTGTCTGTAGCCTTTCACTGCTTACTGGCCAGACAGATCTGTTAACATGATCTATATACACGGTCAGGCCATTGTGCCTCCAGACATGCATCACTGAACGGGACATCAAACAAACATGAAGGGTTCTTAGTGGATGACTTTCAACTTTTTACAGTATTTAGTGTAATGTTCTTTTCCAGTTAGTCCTGTGTCTACTGTGCATTTCCTGCTTCTCTTGTCTAAATCAGCCCTTTGATACTTTTAAAAAGATGTTCACAGTCACTGACCAATATACGACCACAAACGTGAGTCATTGCACTGGATCCACAGCGCTTGCATTGCAATTACTCACATTGGCTTCATGCGTTATGTGTGTGTATTTTGCATTTGTAAAGCTAGATTGAAGCCCGTAGAAATCTAAAAAAGGAGTGAAATGGACATTGAACAGTTTGGACCGTTGGATGCTGTTCGTCTGATTTTCTGTAACCACTGTAGCATTAATACCTTTTTTTTTTTTTTAGTGCTACACTGGTTACAGAAAATGAGCCGAACAAAGTTGTCACTCATCATCTGGCGATTAAAAAAATGTGCTTTTCCTACGGTGAGGCAAGTTGTTAAATTTTACTCCTGACTCTTTATGCTTTGTAATTATTAATGTTACTCCACTGCTAGTCTTTACTGCAACATTGCACCTCAGTGAGTCCATGACCAGCTTGTAAGTCAGTTTAGTCCATAGGGAAGTTAACTCCCTACAAACGGTCCCAACAGCACACATAAAAATGTCCCTTCTACTCCTTCTCTATTTCTATGTCTGAGGCAGAGAGGGCTGAGTTGGCAAATGGAGAAATAAATCTGGAAGCTTGTTGTGTGTGTGTGTGTGTGTGTGTGTGTGYGTGTGTGTGTGTGTGTGTGTGTGTGTGTAGTTTGATGATGAGAGTGATCAATAGCCCAGTCACACGGGACACATAGATCCTTAATAGCAACATCAGACTCATCACTGTTTATTGGCTGGAAGGACGGACGTATATATGCAGACCTATTCACAAACACAACGCTGTGTGTTGCTACCTACAGCAGTGATGTCAGTGACCGTACAGAGAGGTAGGCCGTGGTCATGATGGTGGTTTAATCAAACGGCCTTAAAGATAATCAAATTTACAGGGCGACACGATCCCATCAGAGTAGTAGGACATAATAAATGTGTATATGTATGTATATATGTGTATATATGTATATGTCCCTCATGTCTATCTCGCTCCATATGGTTCAGAATGAGGGGAGATAAAGAGTTGGCAATCAAACAGAGAGGTTTCCATTCTCCTCCAGTACAATCCCACTATTGTCTGGATTAAAGCCTCTTTTCTGTGCCATTTGGAGACATTAGGAAATGAAACACGCTGTCAAACCCAGCTTTACCAGCTTCATACATTTATATACAAACACTTACTTTTTAAAGTGGATGCCAGATTGGCAACCAGGCATCAGCTTTTGTTTGCCAAAACTGAAAATATGGTTCCCACTTTCAGCCACCTTTATATTTAGAGTGATGGAGTAGCACAGCAGTCACTGACCTGTATCGCTCTGCAGCCACGAGACTGAACTGAACTCAAACTCGACTTGTTTGCGCTGCTACAGCAATCGTTGCACTTCTGCTGGGGACTCGTATATTTTCAGTGTGAATATTTTCACATTCGTGCGTTTGTGGTTATGTTGTTGTAATGATGTTTTTTATTTGTCTTTCTTTGCACTGGAACTGAACTACCATGCTGTTCCAAAACATCTCTGTTGTGTGGCAATGATAAAAGATACGATGCAGTGAAATGTCACCTTAACCGTGTCATATAAAACAATAAGAGCTGTATTACAGTGACCAAACAATTCTTTGTAGTTTGTGTTTTATCTGATACGTTACATAATCTGAATCTTAAGTGTCATCTGTTAAAGTGACCACCCTCAATTTTATTATTTTCTGTCAAATTAGTCTTTAAAACAGATTCATGTCTAGTTAACAGCAGCAGCAATATTATCACAGCAATAAATATAAAAAATGTCTTCATTTTGTGTCTATATGTTAAAAGACCAAGATTTTGTTTCCAATTTCTCAAAATGATTCTCAATGGTAACCTGGCCACTGGTGAGCCTTGAGATATAAATAAATAAATAAACACATTAATGTATTAATAGAAAAGTTTGATATCTGAGCAGATCCGTCACATTTGAGTGAAAACCATCAAATTCAAGATGGCGGTCCCATTATTCAAAGTGTTATTAATTTACTTAACAATGATGTGTTATTAGTTTGTTAGAATTAACAGGAATTGATAAAATAAATGGCCGTTATCTACAATGGGCCTAACTGGCTAATGCATACAACATTTTAGAGATTTAAGAAGTCTGCCCTGAGAAAGGAAAAAAAGTTTAGCTTGCAAGCGTTTACATACAATTGGAGCCGGAGTCCTTCTGGATAACTACTGTATGATTGGGTCATTTGTATTTTGATTACGCAAATCCCAGTGAGGTTATATTCGCACCTTGGGTGACCATTAACCTAATTTGAAGCCACTGATCTGGGAGTTACCTCGTGGTGCATTCACAGTTCTGCTATTATCCTCTGAGCCAGACCGTGGCCTAGGCCCAGCAGCTCCAGCAGTCTTTTTGGATTCCTCCTCATTTTGATCTGTCACGTTGTTTTTGTTGTCCCTCTGTGCAGGTTAACTTTGTGGCATGTCAGCTGTTCGCCCTGCTGATGGCTGTGTGGTTTCGGCTCTACCTCCACCCCAGTAAGACCAGTCCTTTCATCAGACATGTGGTGGCCACTCTGCTGGGCTTCTACTTGGCTCTCTTCTGCTTTGGCTGGTGAGTCACTCCTCTGTTCAGCCCACAGCAGCTCTTTTCGTGTCGTCACTGTCCTTTCTATTCTCTGCTCCTTCCTTCCTTCCTTACTTCATGTTCATTTCACGCTGTTGTAAATACATAACTCTGCTGTCGGATTGTTTGAAAGGACGTTGTTAATCTCATGGTTCGGGTATTGGTGTATGAAATGTCATGTAATGTTATGCAATTAAGGAGATGTTGTATAATTAAGTTTTAATGAAGTTTGCACTTCTGCTTTAGTGAGTGATTCCAGAATGCTTCTCCTTAAACCACGAGAATGTCTTACACGTTTCAGCTAAATCTGAAACAATTCGTCCATTTGTCAGATAGTTGACTTTTGAATAGTTTACTAAACAACTATGCCAAATTTTGGCTAAATTTAACCTTCTCAATTGTGAGGATTTTAAGCTTTACGTCACATTGGGCTCTGAGAAATCATGATGGGGATTTTTCTCTATTTTTTTGTCTTTCTGTTTGAGCAAAAGAGAGCGTCACACCCTCTTGGCCAAAATGATGTGTAACTGCTCTGCCTAACTGTCATTGCTATATAATCATTGGAGGAAAGGCTGAATCTAAGGAGACTGAAGAGTAACTGCAATGTTTGCGATCAATTTGGTCTTCGGAGTGGGCTAATGTAGAGGGAACCCCAAACCTGATGTGTCCCCGGCCTCCTTGCATTAGCAGCATGCTAACATGCTAAATGTGTGAACTCTGCTTTACATGTGTAAGGACCAACAGATGGAAAACTGACTGCACATTGTGTAATAATTATGTGTTGTATGTTAGAAAGTGTGAATGATAAGGCAGTCAGCTGATATGAACAATTAATATCAGGGCATGTTGCATTCATAGTGTCTAATTAAAATATATATTTTAATCTAAATGAATTACATGGTTTGATTTTATAATGAGTAATACACTTTTAAAATTGAAACAGAAATCTGCATTAACAAATTGGCTAATTGTGTCATTTAATGTGAATTTGATTAAGTGCTTAATAGACTGCTTTAAATTTCAGTGTTAATTATTCATTAACCAATATTCAGCTGCACAGTCTGACTGGCTCACTGACATTATTCATAAGTTTTTTTTTTTTTTCTACATTTGGTTGGTTATCTGTGGGAATAAAGTATAAACATTACTGAACAACATAAAGGGATTGTAGCTCTTTAATAGAGTGACAGAGTTTAAAGTAGAGCAGCAACAACTATTCTCATTGTCAAATAATCTGGCCAATTGTTTCACTTTAATTGATTAATTATAGCGTAATTGGTGACAGTTGTTTGGAGTAATAGTTTCGATATGCAAAGATTTCACATTAATACTTTTTTTTTTTTAGATTATTAGTCACAGTTTTCTGTGTCTTACTCTGTTTTTGTTCTCCTGTCACCATCCTAGACTCTGTTCCTTGTTTGTTACTTGTCTGTCATCATCATCCTCCTCCTCTTCCCCCCTCACTGCCCTTCCCCTCCACATTCTCCCTCACTCCGTCCTCGTTCTCTTCATCCTCGCCAAAGCAAATGGGTCGATCGAGCAGTAACGGATATCCAATTATAAAGCTATTGCCCTGTAATAGACAACCCACTGTACCTGTGGCAGAGTGCCTCTCAAAGTGTGTGTGTGTGTGTGTGTGTGTGTGTGTCTGTGTGTGTGTGTGTGTGTGTGTGTGAGTGTGTGTGAGAGTGAGGGCAAACCTCAGAAACATTAGCTGGTGGGAAAATGCTAAACAGGTGAAATGTTACCTGGTCATTGGGTAACAGGTGAAAGGGTTTCATTTCAGCACCTCACCAGACAGTTCATGTACGTGATGCTACTGTTCATGTTATTTGTTTTGGCTGGGAGAGGTGATGTAGTAGAATTCATTCAAGACTATCTTCTGGTCTAAGCATGGCATGACAGTGTCCCACAAAAAGGAATTGCTTATTATACACACCATGTGTCATTGTTTAAAATAAATTCACATTAAAAAGAGGTTTGTCCTCTCCTCATGTGAGTGTGTTTCAAATGTTCACTACGATACCTTTTCTCAAGAGTAAATGTTTACAATGCCTTTCTCCTTACCCCAATTATCATGAGTCATGAGAAAAACAAGTAGTATGTATATATGTGTGTGTGTGTGTGTGTGTGTGTATATGTATGTATGTATATATATATATATGGGGTTATGAAGATCGTTTGCCAATACCTGCAATCAGAAAGTGTCATCAGATTGTCACAACAATTTACAGCAAAAAAAAAAAATAAGGAACTGAAAGGATTTGTCAGATAACAAGTAAAATGCCTCTACTGTATTCACTGAGCTGTGAATGGGCACTGTTTTTTGGGCAACAAAAAAAAAGGAAAGGGACATAATGTTCTTCTGTACAGACGAACACCAAACGCATCGCAACAAATCTCACGTGTTCTCACAGTAACAAATACATAATTATTTACACACATCTGGACTCTTATGATGTACCTCCTCACTTTGTGTCGGATTAATCTTCAGTTTGAAAAATACCACCATCTTGAAATCCTTTTTTTTTTTTTATCCGAATGAGCCAAACAAACAATAAATATGCGTCTGTGAAAGCCTGCCAAAGAGTTGTATGTGCTGAAGCAATTAAAAGAGCACACGCTCCTTAAAATATCATTGCGTTCGGTGCAGTGCTCCAAAAGCTAAGCATCTCAAGTTGGACACTAATTACAGGAATAATAGTTTTCTTATCACTTAAATGTCTGATTTTAACAATACTAAACTATATAATGATGCAGAGATTACCATGAGTGGCTCAAAAAGACAGATGTAATTATTTGATAACGGTCTTAATCAGAGCTGTGTAGTGTGCACATGTTAATTGTTTATAAGATCCCAAACAGCTTCTGCCTAGTGCAGCTTGCTCCTGTGAAATGCATGAACGCATCTATCCACACACTTGTATTTGAACCCTTTTATACACACACACACACACACACTCAATATTTTCAGCTTTCGTTGCACACACACTGTTTCTTAGAGGGCACCTGGCTGCAGCCCTAGAGGATCTGCCTCACAGATGCTGCAGCGTTGTTGGTTTATTTTAGGATGCGCTCCCTCTCTGTCAGACGCACGGGCTTGTTTCTGAATGTCTCTGGAGAAAACAATTGAACAATTGAAACATTTCCTCTGTCAATGGGGACTGAGCTCATTTGAGCTTCTGTGGACACGCTTGCAGATCGCATTTTTCTGACACATCCCAGGCTAACCGTGTCTCGAGACATACCTTTCCTCTCCCTTCATCGGGTATCACTGCTGTTCTTAAGCATCGTATTTGCTGAGCGGTTCATTTAATCCACCCAGCTTGCGCTCCCCTGTTCCCTGCCATCCCGTGACGCCCTTGCCCTCTTTGTCGACTCACCACTAACACAGTGTGGCATCTCTCCTCTCCTGGAGGGCCTGACGTCGGTAGCACTACACACTGTGCCCTTCAAAGACCCATCTGGTAGCTGCTGCCGCTGTTGAGATTGTGCGTGCGTGCTTCACGGGAGGGGAGAGAGGCGGACAAGAGTTTGATCAACACACACACACACACACACACACTCGTGCACAAGTCGCTGTAATGGTGCGATGCAAGGAAGCTTGCAGCTAGAAGGCATGGAAATCAATTAAGACCACAGTGTGATGGCGGTCACTATCCTGCCCTGTGACTGCAGATGACACATTGCTGGTTACAAAGGTCCGGCTTCACATGGCTGATGGTCTGACTGGTTTCATAATGCTGTGGTTTCCTCTTTCTAATGACTGTATGGGGTGACAAAGTAGGGTGTGGATGGTAATAAAGTGTAATGTAGTCTATTATAATATTATAAGGAAGGGCCGTGTGTTTGAAGGGAGTTATGTTTTCAGTAAATAACAAACCATGAAAATGTTAAAAGTAGTAATTTATGACGTCTGTCTCTCCACAGGTATTCCCTCCATTTTTTGGTGCAGAGCGGTCTGTCCTACAGCGTGATGATCTTCGTTGGCCTGGAGCATATGCACAAGTAAGTAAACAAATGAAATGCAAAAAAGGTTATTTGGCCCCGTGGTTGCTGGAAGTGTGAGAGTCGTACACAATCGTAAAAAAGCCTCATCGTTTCCCAGAATAAGAAACCTCAAAAGGGCAAGTGAAAGCACGACAAAGACATTTGTCAAAGCCAGTAAACCAAAATTTTGTCAGGCACACGAGCCTGGGTCACGACGATGATGATTATTCTGCTCCAGGGCTTCCATCTGTGACCATGGCTCATTAAGATACTTCCCCACACACACACACACACACACACACACACACACACACACACACACAGATGTTGTCTGATGTTATATTTTACCAAAATTCCAGGATGTTCCCCCTGGGGAGAGCCCTTTAAATAGATGGTAACAAAGCATTAATCACAATAGTGAATGCCCTCAGAAAGAAAGGACTCAAAACCCATCGACAGTAACACACATGACATGGTCATCCAGACTACATGGCATTTAAACATATAGCAGTGTTTCACACCAAAAGTCACTTTGCATTATTCCTGGATGTTTGACCCTCTACACACAGCATTAGTGTGCTGTTCTGTCCCTTGTGTCTGTGGATAGATAAGCTGTAGCTCTCATGAAACAAAAAAACAAACTGTGGTATTTGCCCAAACCAACACACCTTCATCGCATTCCCCATTCCCCCCCCCCTCCCACCGGATGAAGGTACAGCTTGGGGGCAGAGAGGAGGAGAGTTAGAACGCACTGACATGTTCATGTTTGCAGAGGGCGTTGAACCCACTGCCCCAGGTTTTGTATAACAAAGTCATTATTATTTCAGCAGACGGTTGTTATTTAACTGGGGCCGTGGGCTTTTGGTGACTCGCTGTTTAAACCTTTACTCTTTGAACTATGCTTGAGCTGGTTGCAAAGGTACTCATGGTTTTAAACTATAAGCATACTTACTGTATATATTTACAACTGTGGTTTCTTTTCCCGATAGATTTTGTTCCCTTTTTTATTTTTATATTTTGTTTGTCTCCGTGTGTTCACTGTAAAAAGAAGAAACTGCCAATGTAAGCCCGAAATGTATATTCTTTACATCTTGGTTTACTTTGCAGTATTAACATAGACACTGTACGCCTTGCTAATGATAATACTGCGTGGAGATGTCAGTATGATGCTGACTATATACACTTTTACCTCCTATAACACTTTCCGCTGTAAGACTTGTGCTTGTTACACTTTGGTAACATGCCCTAAACACTGCCAGGACCAGTGCACTGTGGCAGGACTTGTGTTCTCTATTTGTTGCTCTCTCGCTCAGATACCTGATCCTTGGGGGGGTGAGTGAGTGCAGTGCGACAGCTTTATGGAGTTGCTAAAAGCTCTTTCTCTGGACTGCGCGAATGTGAACCCGGCTTGGTGTGGATCAACCTGACCACTTTGTTTAGCGGCGAGGCATCATGTTTCATACTATTCTAATGTTGTGCCGCTCTGGATCTCTGACTCTCCCCCTCTTACCACTCCCTCAGCCTCTTTGACAGTTCGCCTGGCAGGGAATGTTCTCTAGACGCTTACCTGCTGAACGCTGCACGGCCTGCTGGATGTGAAAATCGTTAGATATGGTGACACCAAAGAAGAAGGCCGGGACAGTAATGCTCAACTCGATTGATACTAAAGAAGAGCCATTACAAAATTACAGTTACTCAGACTGCTAAAGAAATAAGACAAGATGTGCTATCAAGCTAAGTGTAAATATAGTCTTTTCAAGTGATTATTGTACTCTATAGCCTGTGTTGCTTGATTTTCTCTGTTGGGGTCAGTGGCTCTCAAACTTTTGGGCTTGTGACTCTTAAAATGAATTGATGTCTCTTTGAACGCATGGATGACATGTCTACCGGTTGTAACCAGTTTAATTAAAAGCGTGTAAAAATAAATTAAACAGTAATTCACAAGAAATAGTGAGGAGTAAAAATCTGGATGATTACATCAGTACTTACCGAGCAGGACCACAACAGCCAATGAGAGAGGCGGGCTGGCTCAGCCGTAGGTGTTTCCAAGCAACGGTAAGCAATCCAGCCCTTGAGGCTAACGTTAGCTAACACACTGTTGACGGATTGAATACTGTTGAAATCTCACCTCCAGTTTTTTTTAACTCCTGTGGTCTTAGCCCGGCTTTAAGCAGAGCGCTGCACTTTAGCTGTCGATGAGGCTCTGTCGACTCGTGAAGCCGCTCTACTACCTGGAAGACATCGCCAGCTCCACCTCAGGAGGGCCTGAGTTCATGATGAAATGGAGAGGATGCATTCTATCTGTTAACATAAGCACGCAGTTAATTGGAATGTGTGTTGGTGTTGGTGTGAAAGCATGGCTGTGAACCTGACGGTGATAAGTGCGCAAATGACTGACTCTCAGTCGCATGCTGAACAGATGGGAAATTTCCTCTGGATCTGTGTATGCATTTGAGCAAGCATGAAGTGTGCCTCGAGGCATTTATTGTGTGTACACAGACTTAGAGAGCGGTCTAGGGGTGTTCAGACATTTGTTTATATATTTATATATTTTTTTTTCAATGCTCCATGTGCAGTGTGTATCCATACCTGCGGCTCAGGTGTGGCTCCTTGTCTCCGCGTTGACCTGTCTCTGCTCCTGTCCCACAGTGGGAGGCCAGTCAGGCTTCATCCAATACTTCGAGTGGAAATGAAACACCCCCCCTCTGAGCTGTGAATTACACAAACACAAATCAGAGGAGGATAAAGACAGAATCCCCGGTGGACCCGCTGCAAATATAGCTGCGGCAGCACATATATCCTCGCTTATAACTGCAGCTGTGTGCTGCCAGTAGAGAAAGCTGATCTCGGTGAAAATAGGGTTGTTGCTGTGGATTGAAAATATCAGTGGAGCCAACAGAAAAATGTAAAACTTTCTTGCACTGTTAAAATGTCTATTTTATGTCGTACAATCTGGTGTTCAGCATATTTAGCCTTTGTGTGAAAGCTAGTAAAATAGCTGTCGGTGTTATTATTTCTGTTGTTTTTAATGCTCATCAAAAGATCTGTTGACCTTCTGCTGGACTGATCTGAAGCAGGATAATTTCACCTGCTTCAAGAAAACATTGACTGAAGTAAAACAAGTGTAACAAGACACCGTAGGCAGGATTCGTATTCAGGTGTTTCTTTCCACAGTGTATTACACACTAGTAAACGGGGAAAAGAACTTCCTATATATGCACTTGTAATTTTGTCTCGTAGGTTTTGGACATTTGAGACAGTTATGCTAACCATGTTAAAAACATATTAATGAAGTAGTCAAAGTAAGACCTGGGGATTTCTCTTTAGTTCTTAGGTTGAACCTGAGAGGATACTGATGAAACAAGCTTTTGTCTTTGACTCTCACTCAAATCACTGTGCAGTTATGTTACTGTATTATAGCTCCGTTCTCATATTTGTGTATTGATGAGCATGGAGACTGAGTCTATAGGCGGATCTTCTGTTGTTTCTGGAAACAGATATTATTTCACATCTCTAGAAAGTCGATAGACAATAGCCGACAATGTTCCATAAATACCACTTGGGTTGTCCAGTACAGAAAGCTCTATGAAGGTGTGCCCTAGTAGCCTCAATGTCTGTGGACCATTGTTGCATGAGATACCCGATGAGATATGGAGAATAGTGCGTACACTGAAAACATCCCGAGTGTGGGCTGGATACAAACGCATCACTCTCGGAGCACTTAACGGAATTGTATTATAATTATCACCGTTCCTTCTCGGAGCGGTTCTGTGAGCGTGTAATCTTTGAGTTTTTAGAGGCTGACCTTGAAAGGTCCGAAAAAAATAATTCATATAGCAGAAGTGTGAGTGGTTAATTTCATTTTGCTTGGCAGTAGAGATCAGATGATGTCTTGGACTGCACATACAGTAGGCTCTCGGAATCAAGAGGTCCTGTTGTCTCTTATCGGCTGCGAAGCCTCGCTCTCGCTGCTTTGTTGTATTCCTTCACAGAGCAGCACAATCCTCTTATTGTTGGCAGCAGAGGAGTGCTAGCTAGCTAGCTAGCCATCTTTGACTTGGGCTGACTCTGCAACAGCTTTGTACAACAGGCTTCAGTGCTGCTCTGTCTTTGGATTTCTGTTGAAAGGTTGTGTTGTCCTCTGTCTCCAACCACTGACCCGGACACATTATTGGAGCCTCCTCTGCTCCTTTGTCCAATGTTTGACCCCCACAGTCTTCCTTTCCAGAGCTCCTCCATGGTGCCTATAGGCCTCTTGTCTTTTGAACTGTACTGTAAACAAGACCCTGTTCTGCCACAGATATGGGAACAAAGGGACACGGGGTTATACGATATGTGCATTGCGCATATGTGCCTGAAAAGCTCCATTTCACTGTGTCGAGTCAAATGTTGAGAAGATATGGACCAAGATTCCACAGTTGTCATTTATTTATTCAGCGTTCATCATTCATCTCTCTAATTCTTGTTTTTTGTCTCTCCTTTTTCTGCACAGGTACTGCTTCATTGTGACGCTTGGCTACCTGATAGTATGTCAGATCACACGGGTCTACGTGTTTGACTACGGCATGTACTCTGCAGATTTTACAGGGTAAGCCACATTAAGACCGGTGCTCTTTGTAATCTTTTTGGTCCTTAATTCAAAACCTCCATTGGTCTTAATTTGAATAAGAATGCGATATTGGATATGATAACCAGTCTGAGCTAAACAGAAACAAGAGGGTGTCGCACTGCTGTGTCTGCAGGGGGACGTCGATAGCGACTCTTGTGGTTGGTTCCCACTCCTCCAGACAGTCTGTCTGACAATTCCAGCAGACAGACTGCACTCCCAGCAAGGTGGTGGTGGTGGTGGGGGGGGGGGGGCTAGCTGCTAGGCAACCCAATGCAATCCCATACTGCCACTGCGAGGCCAGAGATTTCACTCTCTCAACTACCTCATCTGTCATTCCTCTGTCTTTCTTGAACATGCCAAATTCACGTCAGTGTGACCCAACAGGCCAGAAAGTGTCTGGCATGTTGCTTGTTTTGACTCTTTTGCTTAACTTGATGCTGCCATCAGCAGGTTTCACGTCAAGAACTTGTACTTGCAGATGAACAGAAAGCGTTTATATGTCTAAAAGCAAGTTAAAGCACATGAGACTAGACCGTACAATGTTCTTTGATAGAGAATGGCTTCACTAAGTCAAGAGGAAGAGGACTGAGTAGTATAGGGGACCATTGGGCCTAAAGAACAGAGAAGAAGAAATAGAAAGAATAGCTACAGGAAGTTTAAAAAAAAAAAAGAGTCTGCAGTCATTCTGGAGGAAAATTTCCACTGTGGGTGAATTGGCATCTAAAGCCAGTAGTTAGTTACATGATTCCACCAAAAGTTAAATATGTGCTAGTTTAACATAACTTCCTCGAAACTGAAAAATTCAAACTAAAAGTTAGGCATGTCAAAAATATATTTATCAGACAAAACCCTGTGATGAGCTGCTTGTATGTGCTGCACTGAGTGGAGTCGTTTTGAAATTCTCAATATTAACATGACCTTTTTCCATTTGATGCACTTTATCAGGCCCATGATGGTTATAACACAGAAGATTACCAGCTTGGCGTTTGAAATACACGATGGTAAGACAAGCATGAAAGTGTCCTGAAAGCGTGCGTGTGTGTGTGCGTGTGTGTGTGTGCGTGTGTGTGTGTGTGTGTGTGTGGGTGCAAAAAAATTAGCAGAAATGAAAGTGGTTCAGTTCTCTTTTCAGTTTCCAAGCGGATCACATGGCCACCTTTTCTGAGCCTGTAGTCGGTTCTGACAATGGACTCGTGAACCAGACAGCATAAACACAGTTATGTAATGGAGCAATGGCCAAGTATTCTCTCTGTCTCTCCCTCTGTCTCTCTGTCTCTCTGTCTCTCTCGCTCTCTGTGTGTGTGTGTGTGTGTGTGTGTGTGTGTGTGTGTGTGTGTAAAAATGTAATGATTTGAACTGCTTGCACTTCCTATGTGCTTGTCTATCCTTTGTCCCCGGACCAAAAGGTCCTGACCCCAACCTTTCATCCCTCTGGATCATCCATTCCAACATCAACCATTAGAACTGCCAGGCTGCATACAGTTTACCATTGGATAGCAATGCTTTATCCATTTATTAGCCAAATTTAAAAAGCAGCGCACAGTGTATGTAGTTAACTACTCGTGTGCTGTGCTAATGCTGAAGTTGTTTTTAGCCATAACTGAAAATGAACTAATGAGCAAGACATAAATAGAGATTGACATAGAGGTTGAAAATAAACAAGTGTGTTCAACTACTGTAACACGAGAGGCTTAAAGAATGAGAGGACGATGAGTGTCACTCATAGCTTTTTAGTTTGCACTTGGAGAATGAAGTCCCCTCAGGACACTCTAGACTTAACACAATCAGCAGTCTAATAGCAGTTTGTGTATGGATGTGTGTGTGTGTGTGTGTGTGTATGTTGGTGGGTGTAGGCAGTGTAGAGTTTTAAGGTTTTTTTCAGGTCACTGATTCTTCTTCTTCTTCTGCAACTGTGAGTCTTGTGAGGAACTAAGACTGTAATCCGAGAACTGTCCCACCCTGATACCTGCCTGCTGTTCACACACACACACACACACACACACACACACACACACACACACACAGTATTTTGCCATACAGTAAAATACTTCCAAGAGACGGCTCATAGTCCAGCTCTTAAGAATAGAGTTATTAAAGGCACAGTGAAGCTTTGATTGGGATCAGAGGTTTAATTGAGGCCTCGTAGCTAATCACAGCCTTGCACCATGAGCCGTACACTCAACCTAACATGTAACCCCTGATGCCAAAGAAGGGCCACGAGTGTGCAGTCTAATGAGTTGCAAAGCCGCATGTCTTCATAAACAAAGAGCAGACTGATTAAGACAAATTTACCCAGACACCCCGGCACTAGGTAGCTTTGGTTGATATACCTGCAAACCTTGAGAGAACTAAGAACTTCAGAGTTTTATCAGAATACACGTAGTGCTTGTCTGTGTATTCTGTACTATTATCCTCTTTTTGATTTTCAGAGCATGATTTGCAGGTGCACATTTACAAAGATAAAATGTGACACGTATGTCTTTGTGTCTGTCTGTAGGTTTGGCCAAGCGAGATTGGCAGCTGACTCCCAGTCAGAAATACCTAGCTATCAGGTATGTGAATCAGGTATGTTTTTAATGCTTCAGATGATGGGCTCATTTAATTAAGCTCAATTTTAAAAAGCCGACATGATCTTAAATCAGAGTTAATGAATAGGAGCCTCGTGGTCCCCGTTGCAGGCTCTCTCTGGTGTTGTCAAGCAGTTGTTAAGCGCTCGGTATCTAGGAAACTACAAATTCACCACTCTCATGTGAACTGTATTGTGGGAATGGCCTGCCCTCCCTCTGTCCTGCATTAACTGCAGATTCCTTTCCCTCACAGTTACTATTGGATACAGGATTTGAGTGGGGAGATGAGTTGCTACTGTAAGCTAACAGGGAGCTAATGTGTGATTACATAGCTGAGAATAACAGAGATAACAGGCAGAGCCGAGAGCAGGACTTGCATATTGAGACAATCTTTGCAGAATTCGTTAAGCACAGCTTGGAAATACGCTGAACATCTGTAAAACACAGTAAATGCATTAAAGGCTGAGCTAGCCGGTCTGCCCATAAGGTCCCAGATATGCATCAAAGCTGCATTTCATAAACATACTCTTGAGTCAGCCGAGCCCTCTTAGTCTAAATCTCAGATGCCTCCTGGGAAGGTGAGGAATTGGCGGCAGAAACAGGAGCTCCCGTTCAGACAGTTAGACTGCTACTTCATCCGGCTGAGTATATTCAGCGAGGAAGGGTGAGAGACCACAAAAGCTTCAGAGTCGGTCAAAGCACTCAGGCCCTCCCTCTTGTCGTGGACGGTTCGATGGAATCGACCTTTGTGGTTTCTCAGCTGACAGGAAGCTCTCTCTACATATGGAATGTTGGTCTGTTGTCCTGTTGTCCTGTATTTTAGATTGAAGGGTTGGGCACAACATGAAAACAACTTCTAATTTTCAGGTTTCCCGCTCATCCAATGCTCTTGTCTCTCCCCTGTGACCATTAAGGCGGATGCCCAGCTTGCTGGAGTACTTGAGCTACAACTGTAACTTCATGGGCATCCTGGCTGGGCCCAGCTGCTCTTACAACGACTACATGGCCTTCATCGAAGGCACGTGCTACCAGCCACGCCACCAGGAGAACGCCAACGGAAAGGAGAACGGGAAGTACAAGCAGAGCGAACCCTCACCCAAGGTACAGAACTTGAATAGAAGTGCATTCATCGTGTGAAGTCTGCAAACACTGTGGTAAAATATACCTACTTTTTGTGCTGCGGTGGGTTAAAACATTCTAAAATGCTTGAAATCATCAAAGAAAGTACTTGAATGAGTGGTTATGATATTACAAAATAGGATGTTGACCTATGCAATTCTCTTTTAAGCGCATTTTGGGTGATGTTTTAAAAAGGCCTAGGCAGCAATGCTGCCGTTTTAAGGGGTGCAGGGTAATTACAATGCGTTTGGTTCCCGTTAGAGAAACAGAAACCGAGACATTATTGAGAAATTAATGACGCAAATGTCTAAACCTCAAGGTTATTTGTGTTTTCTTACTGCATAATGCATTAATAATTGAATTACACGCCAAGAGTGTTTATTCATCTCAAGAGATAAAGGAACAAAGTGGAGAACAGACGTTGCTGAATGCAAAACAAGAGGGAACGCTCAAGGACTTGAGTTAACCTTGAATCAACTTAACTTGTTTTTTTGAAGTGCAAGCATAATGTCTCCTAATGTGGTGTTTGTTGTTTTTGAATATAAAATGATGTAATGGGTTTCAACGGGGACTGCTCCTTTGTGTCACACTCTCTTTTTTTCTCACCTCCGCCCAGAATGACGTCATCTCCAAGCTGTGTACATGTGCCATCTCGCTGGCCATCTATCTGTCTGTGTGCAAGCTGCTCCCAGTGGAGCACTCCATAAACGACGACTTCGTCAGCTCCACACCTTTCCATCTCCAGGTCATCTACCTTTACTTGGCCATGCTGGCTCTGAGGCCAAAGTACTACTTTGTCTGGACACTTGGTGAGTTTGATGTGACTTGAGTACACATTTCTCCTCACCCATTCTATATTGAATCCAAGATGAGCATATACTTTCTTTCTCTTTATTTGATTGCTCAATTCAGGACTAAAACAGAGGTGTTACTGCTTTGGTTTTATTTTGCTGACTTCTGTAGTTTGAACTCACTGAGCTGTGGAATTTGGTTATTTTTAAAGCAGTCTGTACAGTATGTAACTCTTATTTAACGGCATTGTCTTGACGCAGCAGTGCCATCTAGTGCTGAGTTGAAAACTGCAGCTCCTCATTCTTATCAATGACAAATACATGTGATGCTGGATCTCCATCTGTTTCTGTCATTGCGTCACAAACTAATGTATTTAAAGGATATGGAGCTGTCGTCTTCCTTCACTGTTGCCATTGTACAAATGTTTTGTGAGCACTGCCTTTCTCCTGCAGCTGATGCTATCAACAACGCTGCCGGATTTGGCTTCAATGGATACAACAAAGATGGCTCCCCGCGGTGGGACCTGATATCAAATCTCAGAATTCTGGACATTGAGGTTAGGCTCTTTTTATGAGACCCATTATATCAACACAAAGTCCTTTTTCTCAACTAAAGCCTGACGTGTATTGTTTTGGATCCAATTTCAGTTCGCCACCAGTTTCAAGATGTTCCTAGACAACTGGAATATCCAGACAGCTCTTTGGCTCAAAAGGTAAAAGTATTCAGGTTGTAATAATGTACCTCGCTCAGTTTGTCCGAGAGCGGGCTGTCGAGGGTTACTTAAATGTATGCTGCACATCTGCATATCTCAAGTCCAGCAAAATGCCACATAATGATTGTAAAATACATACAAATCACAAAGTATTCTGTTTTAAATACAAAAACAAACATTGATGGCTTATATTGCAGTTCATAATGTGATCAAGTTTCATTTGTGTGGCCAGTGGCTTTCATTTATTTCTACTTGAATTGTTTTACCAATTGTTTTACCAAACACGCGATGTGTGTTCCCCAGGGTGTGCTATGAGCGCTGTCGCATCAACCCCATGGCGGCCACCTTCCTGCTGTCGGCCATGTGGCACGGGGTGTACCCTGGCTACTACCTGACCTTCCTCACTGGCATTGCCATGACCATGGCTGCACGTGCAGTGAGTACACACATTGTCTTTGTCTATACAGAACCCATTGTTGGAGATTTCCCCCGCCAGATTAAGACAAATGAATAAAAATCATAATTCTGGAGTGGCAGCAGCTCGTGCAGCTCATGAATCACGATATCGAGGGTGAATCCAACAGTCGCTGTTGACATTTTGTCAAAGAGCTCTTTAGATTCACCACTGTTACTTAGCAGAACCACAAACACACAGCGCGGTTCATTTATGGAGAGTAAGGGGATAATGATGAAGTATTATACCTGATGTTGAGGTGTGAGGCCATTACCACTAATCTGTGCTAAGCCAGACCTCTTTACTCGAGTCTTGTAAAAGTAGGAGGATATTTATGTACAGACCGTGGAGTGGTGCTACATGGGGGGAAACTCGCACTGTAATTCTAGATAATCTACTCACAAAGGGTTGATTAACTGAAACGGCCGCACAGTAAATTTGCCGTGCAGGTGAGTTCCTGCAGGGACTTTCTTCCTCTTTATCTAAAGGAGGTCAAGTAGACCATTGACCCGGTTACACTATAAAACTACTGGCCACTGCCTACACAGATGTGTTCAGAGATGGATTTCTTTAAAGAGTTATGAAATGGAGAAAAAACATAGAGAGAGAGGGAAAAAAAGCTTGAGCAGATTATAAGCAGAAGTAGGCAGTAATGCCAGCTGCCATGAAAGATTTCAGGAACTTAATTGGTTCAATTCAAGTCTTGTCTATTGTACAGTAAAATGAGTGGGACGCAATTTCAAGGTTTACGTGTCATTCACTTGAAAATGATGTCGTGAAGTTCAACTCACGGGATGTTTTTCTTCTCTTCCAAGGTAAGACATAACATCAGACCGTACTTCCAGGTCTCTGACTCGCACAAGCGCATCTATGATGTCGTCACGTGGGCGGGGACTCAGGTTGCCATCAGCTACACAGTGGCGCCATTTGTCCTCCTCGCTGTGGGACGCTCACTCAAATTCTACAGGTTTGTGTGTTTGATTGAATAGTGTTGATAGTGATGAAATATTGCTTTGAGTTCAATACAGACTACTATAGACTGCAGTTAAATCAGCACGTGGTTGGTTGTCTCGTTTCATTCCTGTGTTAGCAAAAAATGAGCTGTTTAGGCAAAATTTATTTATTTATTTATTTTTCAAACAAATTTCTTTCTTTTTCTCCTCATATATGAAACATAATTAGACTCTCATCCCTAACTATGACTTATTGTGATGCATAATACAGCGTTGTCAATAGCACCACTTTTCTCACAACTATTATGCACAACTGTTGTTCATAGAGTAACAAGACTCAAGAGTCTACAGCCACTCCAGCGGCTCTGTGAGGCTGTATTCAAGCACTGCGCTAATGCTAACATCAGCATGCTAACAATGACCATGCTAACATGCTGATGCCTAGTATAGTGTTGAACACAGTAGTACACTGCACCACAGTAGTTTAGTGTGTTAGCATGCTAACATTTGCTAATTAGCACTAAACACAAAAATGTTGACCTGAGCAAAAGTCAGGGGATCACCAAAGCCATGAGGATACCTCCTCTTGAGAGCATGAATGACTGCAGAAAATGAACGGGCAATTCATCCATTAGTTGTTAAGATATTTTGGCCTGGACCAAAGCGGCTGACTAGCATTGCCATCCCTAGTTTTTTAGCCACACTATGGGTAAAAAAACGTTCTGACCTGCACTTATTATCTGGTTTTGTGCTCCAACTATTACTTATAATAAACCGTGTTGAAATATTTCTCATTTTGGAATGTCGCCGCAGGTCCTGGTATTTTTGCTTACATCTCCTCTGCCTGCTGGTGGTCGTGGCCCTGCCTGTCAAATCGAGACGCCGGCAGGCCAAAGAGCAGCAGGACGGCCTAAAGGACAGCCAGACAGACCACAACAGCACAGACAACAACTGCAACCAGAAAGACAAAGCCACATGAGGCTCTGGACAGCGACACACAGTCCCTTCAGCAGCAGGAACACTGAGACAAAATAAAACCACAGAGCTGGAGTGTGGCAAGTCTATTTACCTGAAAAAGAACCAAATATCGGATGCTCTGAGAATCCTAACCGACGGAAAACACAAGTCAATGTTCTGTCAAAACTTCCAGTAGCAAGGATGACAGCAATCACACTTTCTGACATGGATAAGAGACCAGGATGTAACAATGGCCATAGTGTAAACTAACGAGTGATGGTGGTTACTTTACATTACATTAGTGGAAATGAAGACTTCCAAGCTGCCTTAAACCCTCTATTTACTCGGGCTGGGGAAATAACTGTTGGATGGCACACTGCAAGAACCTCTTTGCAGTTTCAGTTTATACAAACAGATGAGGCGTGCAGTATGTGGAGGGTTTTTGTCATTGTCTGGATACAAGCCTCTGTTAGGTGGAAATGGAAAATGTTTTCATGTAAAAGAAACATTACTTTATCATCAGCTGCCAATTTCAAACAGGCCTTAGGATCCTCAAAACATTGTTTGATTTCTATGTCTTTTTAAAAATCTTTATTGGAGAAGACTTCACATTGTACGTGTTTTGTATTTAGGTGTTTGTGACGACACTATTTCAGATCCATTCTCAATGCTTTTGTTTTCTGGGATGAATCCGATGACATACAGAGTCCCAAAGATGAATTCAGATCTCGTCCATCTCCACCAGTGGAAAGTCTAAAAGAGGCACTCAGCAGTTACTAAATGGATTTCTTTTTTCTTTTTATTTTTCATATCTGCTGCTTTTTTGACCAACATCACTCGTCAGACAAATGTGTGTTTTTCAAAGGGACTTCATGTATGCTGTTGGGATTTCCATTTTTGTCTTTAAGGATTTCTGACCTGGTTTCAGGGGTGTGATTTGTTTGTTTTTTTGTTTTTTGACCTGTGTTCAAATGTCGTGCCTCTGTAAGTATGCAAAACTATTTAATACAAGTCCTAAATAATAAAATGGTATAATTTGGGAAACACAGTAGATTGTTAACATCACTGTTTTACACAGTTTTATTCAAAATAACAAATCTAGTCAAAATACCACATTTACTGAATATGTATTTAATTGTCAAAAGGTTTTGTAGCCATAATTATTACAAATCAATAGAATGTAAAAGAAAAGTTTCCAAATTGATACACAGTGCATTAAAAGCACACATTGTGGTCAGGCTGCGAACTATGTAAGTGGAATTTGGAATAAGGAATTTACATCTGTCTGCAAGAACATCTGAAGGTTATTTATGTGTGTGACATAATAGTAATGTACACAAATTCAAAGACATACCATGTTGTGGTAAATGGTTTTATTTCATATTGTGTGCACTTATGTTAGAATAGAGGCTATTTCAGGGTGCATTTACTGTAGGGCGAGAGAGACGCTGGTTCCTCACATGGTTTCGGTTCACGGCTCTCCTTAAGCCTTTCAAATCATCCAGTTTACTCTTTATAACACGCAGCAGTTCAAACAGCCACCCGTGTGATTTCTGTATCATTAGACATTTTTTATTTTAGGAAAGGCACCTCGCCTCACTGTTGTCTGGGGAATTCAAGCCCACAATATCATAAACTCTTTCGTCGTACATTTTGTTTTCTTCCAATTGTCAATAATTTGAGTTGGTTTGGTGCATTTGTGTTATGTAAAATAATAACAAAGCAGCAGAGGGGAGCTTTTCCCATTTCTTTTCAAGATTTTCTAACATTTGCATATTCCTGCCATAAGTGTGTGTGTGTGTGTGTGTGTGTGTGTGTGTGTGTGTGTGTGTGTGTGAGCGTGAGCGCGCGCGCGTGTGCGTGCGCGCGTGCCAGTATTCATGTCGATGTGGTCTCATGTAAACTATATTTGTTGCCTGGGCCTTGTGTAGGCGAGTGTGGCCCACCTAAGGGAAAGGGATGTCGTTCTACAAACAAAGCGATTATTGCACTGCATGGCCAACCAAACCAGCAGATCAATGCAAATGGCTCCATATGTCCAAAGTGCCAAATCATAATTGGCGCATTTTTGTTTTGTATGTATGTGAGCATGCGTGCCTGCGTGCGCAAATGTGTCCATGTAGTATGTGTGTGTGTGTGTCCGCGCGCCTGTGTAACATAACTGTTATTTTTGTGTCAGAAGGAAATTTATTGAAAGATTTGTATAACAGTCCATTAAAATTCTGATTTATGTGGCAAAATAAAGAGAAATTATTTTTAAACACTAAAACTGATGTTTCAAAATATATGTCTAATTTGTTTTGTCCAATAACTGAGATTAATATCAGCAGAAAAACTGATGTCAAAATGCAAAGGGAAAATTCCAACAACACACTATGTCCTTGCATTGTTGCTTTGCAATTTTACTGCATTATTACAATAGACTTTAGACAATAGACTAATTGTTTTAGCAGGTAAAACTAATTTCATTAGTTTCCCAGCACAAAATACCAAACATGCACGAAACCAAAGCCTTGGAACTAGCTTGCCTAAATGTCATGCAGATGTTTTTCATTTGTTAATCGCACCTTTTGCTTTTACTGCTATAATCGCATTGCTGCAGATGTGTTGCAATATGATATTTTACAAAGTCCCGTCGGTGCTCACTACATATGATGCTGAAAAGTGCAATGGGTATTTAGTGGCTCATGTCACAATATACTGTCCTGTACCTAACCACTGAAAATTGGTGCAGAAGGCCTTTTTGAAAAAGACCATTTTGACATGTCACAGGAGGAAAAGCACAGATGTAAATGATCAAATTAATAATTTCTGTATTCCGTCAGAGTGGACACAATGATGGAGCTAGTTGATGTTGTCAGTAACCCTTGTGCTTTTCAATTACAAGTCAAAATGGCTGCTGTGAAAAGTGCATATGCTGCTAAATGTTATAATGAAAGCATTCGTTTAAGATTATTCAAGTGTTTTAAGTAGTTCTGACATTGGTCTTCCCTTCCAAACCACTATGAAATATTCCAGTACACACGTGTCAAACCTATGCAGTCTATGCAGAATGGGCGCCCACTGTTTTTTGGATATGCCCTCCCTTGGTTCCCGCCTGATAGTCTAATAAATTGACCATCATCTTTAAGTCCCTTATCTATTGTTTACTACATGTATGCATAAGCATATTAGGAAATAGAGTAGAGGCTGTACGTGCGAATCAGTGGTGGATGTATTCCGATCTCTTACTCAAGCAATCTATCATGAGTAAAAGTTCAGAATTTAAAATTGTACTCAACAGAAGTATTGGAGGTATCAAAAATATTGATTATGCAGGAATCATTACCCAATGAGTGTTTTATCGTTTAAATCATATTAGGTTATTGTCACTGATGCATTCACAAGCAGCATGTTATTGTTGCAGCTGGTTGTAACTGTTTTATATACTGTTAGTAGTTTTATGTACTAGAAAACAATGCATAGTATTTTACATGCTCATAATAGGGTTTATAAAATGTGAATCTGCAAAAATAGTAAAAAAAGTACACTATTTCCTGGTACAGTTGGTCTTGACAGTTAAAACATCTAAAACTTTAGGGTCCTGTTCTAATGTAGACAATAAGATTTTGGGGTTTCTGACCCCTTCTGCTCCGCCACATGAGACGCCCCTCTAACCAGGGGTAGTAGTGGGCGGAGCTACGGACTGTCCTGTATGTGGCAGGTTCACGTTACACCGTTAAACACAGCAGCCTCAGCATGTGGAAACGGTGTTTCTGACTAAATTATCCGCGCGAGAATCAAAACACAGAGCAGCCCAGCCTAGGTAAGAGCATCTTCACGTTGTGCACTGTACTTTTTTCTTCTTCTTCTCTCCTTTTAGAGGTGAAACAAGTGTGAGGACCTGTTGGAGAGCTAGCCACTCTGAGCTAACGTTAGCCTGTTGCGTTAGCCGCTGGCAGTTTGGCTAGCGAGTGTTTCGCTGTTGACAGTAGTAAACACGGGAAGTCAGTCCGCTCGTAACATCCTTCTCAAAACCCGAACAATACACACCAGATAAAAGTAGGTTAATACTTTACTTTTCTTTATCTGGTCATATGTGAGGCCACACATGTAATATCTCTCTGTGTGTGTGTGTGTGTGTGTGTGTGTGCGCGTGCGCGTGTGTGGGTGTCTTATCCAGATGTTTAACTACTTTTTTGACAAGCCGCAGTCGGAAGGGCTGTTGCGCCAAACCTGCTCTTATTAGACATGTTACTCTTAAATTGCAGGTGCAGCATATACCCACAGTAATGCATCACAAGCAGAAGGTTTACTGGGTTAAATATATACCCTTTCAAAGTAAAACTGTGCTGACGTGAAATGCAGACCCTGGTATTTTCAGAATAAAACTGTGCTGATGTAAAAAGCAGACCTTGGTATGTGACAGGGGAACTGAATCCTCAGCAGTTTCACACCCAAGACGACAAGCCATGAAGTGCTGACTTGTTAAATTTAGAGATGGTATCCAGTGTGGCCTCCCAGGTTCCTGTTAATCTGTGTTCACAGCTGACAGGGAGTTTTATGAGTTTTGATGACCATATCAAATGTGTTGTTGCATAAACACTGAACCACATATGACCTGAAAGTAGATCCGGGTGTTTTTATATGTTTAAACGGAATACTGGTGTGTAGTAAAACCGGAGATGTCTATACCAAGACATCATCTGTGTTTTCCTGCTTTACGGTTATATGACGAATATTTATGTTTTTTTTTTTTTTATGTTTTAGTGGGAATGCTGGAAAAATTCCCTTACCTGTTTGGTCATCGTATCTACTTTACAACTAATTTCCTTATTCAAAATGTCTTATTCTTGTGTGTAAATGTACGCTAAAAGCAGTAATACCTTCTTTATAGAGCCGATATTATTTGTCACATTTTATAGACCAAATGATGAATCGAGTAATTTAGAAATTGTCACATTAGTCTGAAATGAAAAGAGTTGTTATTTGCAGCCCTACTCTGAAATATAAATCATACATTGATACATACATTTCAGTCGATATTTGAATAAAACTACAGTGTTTCAGAATTAGTCTTAACATTTTGGCTTCAATTGATTGAGTCAATTAAACACACTTAAAATAACAAGCCAGCAGCCGCTCCCATTGATTTCAACCACATTTTACTTTTACACGATTTAAGCCAGCATCTTATTTCCTCTCCCCTTTTATCGATATAATTTGGTGCTCAGCAGTGCATGCAATGAATGGAAATCAGGTCGCATGTGCCTATTGTGTTGGAAAGAGATGGGCGTCGGCCAGCCCCCCTCATCTAATATTCAGCCGTGAGTGAAGGGGGATGCTGAGCACTGCTTGTTGATTCTGTTTGCGAGTGAACGAGGGATAACGATTGGTGTTGTTGAGTGGCCACATCAATATAAGCCTCACCCTACACTAAGGTAAGGCGTTTGTTTGTTCACCTTTTTAGTGTTTTCTGGAGACTGTGTCTTTTTAAAGCAGCTTTAATCCTTTGTTCTAATAGCTTTTTACTGTTTTTATTGGTGTTTTTTCTCTGCTGTGTCTCTAGGTGTGTGTGTGTGTGTTAAGTCTTTAAAGGATGTGGGTTTGCTCCCATCGGATCTCAACAGAGAGCGAGCTAAATGTTTACTGATTGGTTCTTGTGTGGCGCTATCGTCCACCTATTGTGCTGAGAGACAATGAGCTGAGGAGGGTGTGTCAACAGGCTTATATATCCTTCAATGTAAACAAAGGATTTTTTTCCCTCATTTTTGTGTGACACTGTCTTGACGTGGGAGAGGGGTCGGCAGGTGATCCCTGACTGAAGAAATAAGGAATTCAGAATAAAGAAAGAATGTGTAGATATTCATGGACTAGCTGCTCTGACTCAACTGACTGTGGGCCCGACCGGCATGTGACATTTAAGCGTTGACCTGAGCCTGAGCTCTCACAGATTATGTTGAAATATTGAGCAGCGTGTTTGCTAATCTTAATGTGAAAGCCATTGCCAAGGCAACTTTGCAAGCAGTGAGTGACTGCAGCTGATTTAATTCTGTGTTGCTGCGGCAGGAAGTGAGTCTGACCGTGATGGACGAGCCCAACTTTATGAATCATTAATGAGTTTTTCATCGATTGGCTGAATCCCCGCTACAGCTAAAACAACCATGTTTGAGGGAGTTTCTTTTGTCAGCTGAAATAATGCATTCAGTGTCTGGGAAGCTTAGATATTTCACAGTATGTTAATATTTTCTTGTCAGGGCCCAATGGTAACAGAAATGTCTTGTGTGAGGACTGCTGTTGAACTCCAGGTGACTCTCATGCTTCAAATAATTATTTAGAATGCTGGAGCCTAATTATAGATAATCTCTGCAAACTGGGCCTTCTGCATTGATTTTTGTCAGAGGCAGACATTTACCTACCGGCGTTCTACTCCCATTTTCCCATCAGTGCAAAGCAGTTTCAGTGAAACGGTGTGCTCCTATTCTGCCTTCAGAAATAAACTTTTCTTCTTCAGTGTTCACAAATTCCCCCAAAGTCCAATTCCAGGCAGCGGAGGAGGGTAGAACGGAGGTCGGCTTTGAAATAATTGGAGCACACAGTCGAGTGCACCGATTGTCCTCTTGATCACTACAATCAAAGGATCAGAGTTTAGAGACTGTTCTTTGTCTTCTGTGGTATTTGAGGACTTAGTGGACGTCCTGGATTGGAGCGTTGTTACTGGCCTGCCTTCATTATACCGAGGAGAAGGTTCATGTCTTCAGCGCGAGCAGGCAGACAGAATCTAAAACTGAACTTGAACCAAGTGACCCGGTTAGCCTCTGTGTAATGAGCATGTTCAGTGCATTATCCGATTGTAAGCACACTTTTGCATCATGGTTGAAAACGGACACATACCACCGTGTCCAAAAAGGTTGAAATATACCATTTTACTTTGCGCTCCAATTCATCTGTGGAAGTGTGGGTGTATGCCGGTAAGATACAAATGCATAAAAAAAAGAATTTCCATGTTTTTTCTTCTTTATATTAGATTTTTTAAAATGTGATCCTCTTCTCTGATTGTATCTTGTGACGTTTATAGTAAAAAAAGATGCCTCCTCTGTTTTTTTTTTATGTTTGTGCTGGGTTTGGACTGTACTTGTTTATTGCCGAGCATGACTTCAAAGACGCACCACACCCTCTTCCCGGCTTTAACATCCCCACTTCTCTCTCAGTAGTACATGTAGCCGTGCTAGCCCGATAGATGCCATCAGCATCTTTAGCCTTCTTCTGCGGACGCTCATCTGTTTTCCTCTCGCTCTGCAGCGGTGCACAGGTGGTTAGCGGCCCGCCATGGATACCACCAACTCCCTGAAGATGACCTCTCTGGCCATCCAGAGCCTGTTCAGCTACGTGGAGGAGGAGAACCTGGCCGCCATCAAAGCCCACTTGGACAAGTTCAGAGATGTGGACAGCAGGAGCGATGTAAGTCAGCCGTATCACAACAACCCCTCCGGTTGGCTCAGCTCGTTTATTTTGGGGAGCAGTATGAAGTAACGAGAGGCTCTTTGAGATCATGTGACGAGTGAAAGGAAACTAGAATCTGTTGTGAAGCTTGAGTGAAACAATCCCGAGATGAGAAGAGAAGACACAGTAGTTGATATTGTTTTTGGTTTATGAAGGGTTAACATTATGTATCAGATATATGTATGAGATATAGTGCCAATAAAAAGCATTCAGTCCCCCAGGAAATGTTTTCTTTGACTTTTAAGGCTTTTTTACAAAAAGAACATGAACATTAAACCCTGTGTGGTCATTATTCTGTGCCATAGACCCCAGCTGTTGTCCAAAAACTATTAATAAACATCAATGATGACGCTGTTACACTGCGTGACCCGTTCCTTCCTTTCCTTAACCACACAGTTCATTTTCATGTCAATCTCACATTCCAAACCATCCTGCTGCTGTAACCACTCACTAGTCAACCAAATCCATGTTAAACATGTGTTTAGGTGTTTTAGTGAAGTATTTACCCTTTAAGTATATTCATGAGGTCACATGTCATGCATGTACCTGTATGTAAATGAATTTTCATGAGATTTGATGAGAACACCATCTTTAACCTTAAAACTTTAACTTTGACTGATAGAGAAGCCTTTCAGTCCATGTTGCTTTAAGGGATCGGTTTATTTTTAAGTATAGGATTTAAGTTAAATCAGCAAATACTATCACTCCCTGCCTTTTCTTTTCCAAGGGAGTTCTCAGAGGGTAACAGGGAAAATAGTGTCATTAAAATCTTTCTTTATCACGATTTAACTCCCTTCTCTCTATTTCAGAATGGACAGACTCCCCTGATGGTGGTGGCAGAGCAGGGCAATCTGGAGATAGTGCAAGAGCTCATTAGGAGAGGAGCCAACGTTAACTTGGACGATGTTGTAAGCATGCACGCACACATAACATCCCAAACCGCCTAATACGAACACGCCCTCACAAACACGCACACCTGTGGCGTTTCATTCAACATTGGCAGTCCAGGCACAGGTGAAAAACAATGCGGTCATTTGAACCACATTATCCACTCGAGCGGCCTTGATGTCCCATCCTGCTGAACTCACCACACTCGGGCTCAGTCCACGGCTATTATGAGCTATGATGAGCCATAATGACGAGTTATTACACGTTCTTACCTTCGCCGTTTTGACTAAATGGCAGGATCCACTTGCTGGCCAACACCCTGTGCCTTCAGAAGCCAGCCCCCCCACACACACACACGCACACACACACTTAAGCACGCATATACCCTCCACACGCATGCTCACACGCTACACCTCTCATTAACATCTCACGTGCACGTGTAACCCGCTATTACACATGGCACACTGAAGCTTGCGCTCACTCTCGCACCAGCAGAAGGAGAAAGGAGAAGCGTTGCATACAATAGTTGGTTGCACTTGTCTTTTTTTTTTTACTTAAACACTCCTGTCTGTCCAATGCGACACCCCGTTTCCGTGAGCACCTGGTATGACCAGCTGGTAGGTATACAGTGCTTTGACCACTTCCTGGGACGTCCCACGTAGCACTTGAACAGATGTTTCTCCGACCGGATTTTGGAGGTAACCGGTGGTGTGTGTGTGTGTGTGTGTGTGTGTGTGTGTGCAGGACTGCTGGACCTCGCTGATCTCGGCAGCGAAGGAGGGCCACATCGAGGTGGTGAGGGAGCTGCTGGAGAACAATGCTAACCTGGAACATCGAGACATGGTGAGAACATAGAAAGTTACTGCAACGTTTTCTGCAGATTCTTTTGTTTTATATATGAAGAACTTAATTCTAAGATGCCCTTATTCAAACCTATGTTTGATGATATCATGTTCTCTGGTAATCCCATACAGGTTTATCAACTTTAAGTCAAGAAAATAGTAAAAAATCTAAATAAATAAAAAAAGGTAGGAAAATTGGAAAATGTAATCACAGCGTCCTTGTTTTGATTCTAGGGACCTTTGTCACACGTCATCCCCTCTCCTCCTTGTTTCCGCTACATCTCTACTAAATACTGTGAAAAAAATGTCTGAAATGCCAAGAAAATCATCTTAAGAAGAAATAAATTTGGGGTGTAGGCATGTGACGATAAGAACATTTCATATCACGATTATCCTGGCCAAAAATTGCAATTCCCAATATTACATAAATAATCCTCTAAAGATATACTTTAAACTCCTAAAATGGCAATAAAACATACTGGAATCACTTCACCTTACATTTAGTAAAGAAACAAATATTGTTTTTTTTTTTAGTGAACATCGTTATTAGTAAAAAAACAAATAATCAACAATGTTAAATAACAATCGTAAATCATGAGGTCCTCCTGAATACATTCTAGGATAAATAATAACTCCTGTATTTATTTTTCACTTGTCTTCCATGATAGCGAGCTAGCCAGATTTTTCAAGCCGCTCGTGACAATATTAACAATTTTCCTGACAATGGATTTCCCACAATCAACTTATTGTGAGTGCATCCCTGCTGGTGTGTAGCGTGAAGCAAGACTACACATAGTAATGTATCCTTCGTGCCAAAATAATTTGACGATCAATGTTTTAATGCGTAGCCTTTATACGATCAGAATATAATAAAGTCTTGATTGTATGTGCATTAGTGGTTTCTGGCAAACGTAATGACCACAGTGCTGGTGGAACAGGATGATCTTTCGCCTTGAAATGGACATAAAATGAAATTATTTCATGTTCTCCGGTAGTAATACCATTTACTGATCTCTGGTTGTCTCCGTACGGGGCAGTGATGTAATTTAGTCTTTGGGATCCAGACCTTTCCAAGGCAGACGGTCTGCAGGCTGGCTGTAGTAGCTGTTCTCTATATTCACCAGCAGACTATTTGGCAGCATAACCAGTGAAATAACCATCAGTAGGTCGCGTAAGTTATCAAGTGTTTGCGATACATCCTGTACAATAAAAACATTTCTTGATTGGCACTCAAAGATTACACTTTTGTTTTACTTCCTCCACTATTTTTTCATGTATGATGTGACATTTAGTTTTACTTTATGGAAGTGACTCAGGACGTCACCTGACTCATTGCCATGCGAGGCATGTCTAAGCTGCACAGGACAGATCATCACAGCGGGATTATTATAAACCACACAGTGTGATACTGTTCACTCAGTGGAAAGTGTGTCACACCAGCTGTAAATGGCACATTTTCCTTCCACAAAAACTGCTTAGATTTGACCTGTACTGCTTGAATATAACACTGTTGCTGCCCTTACACCTTGCAATGATAAAATAATACGTCCAGAATGTATATATTCTATTTGTAGGGGGTGTGTTACATTCATGAACACATTCTCTCCTCTCTAACTCACCCGTGTTCTGTGTGCGTTTGTCCTACTCAGGGAGGTTGGACCGCTCTCATGTGGGGAGCCTATAAAGGTCGTGCAGATGTGGTCCAGCTGCTCTTGGAGAAGGGAGCTAACCCCAACATCACTGGTCAGGTATCAAGATCGGACACAATGTACTTTTCCTTAGATCCCCCATAATAATAATAGCATCATTGGCTTCTGTTGTTCCTTTATATCAGGATTGAAAAGTACAAAGACAATAAGTATGTTTGCAGTACATGGTCTCTGGATGGGGAAGTTTACTTTAAATACAATGTTCACGTGATGTGCTTTACTCTGATTGCTCCATGTAAATGTAATCCAATGTTTCAGCTCACTAGTTAAAAACATGACGCATAACTTCACAGTAACAAAACTGTGAACGCAACCACAGCTGCAGCGTGCGATGCCTCTGTTTCAGTCGTGTCAGGTGGCTTAAAGCGTTAGTACGAGAGCAGGCCTGACACTGGTCATTAGTCACTGTCAGCATGACTTCACCCGTCTCCTCTGGCCCAACAGTACAGCGTCTACCCCATTATCTGGGCGGCGGGTCGAGGCCACGCAGAGATTGTCCATCTCCTGCTGCAGCACGGAGCCAAGGTTAACTGCTCCGACAAGGTAACTACATACTGACAGATGTTCATTCACTTCTTTATTTAATCCCACAGAAGATGTAGTTAGCGGGACGAGATTAAAAGATCCAATTGCTTTGGTCCACATCCGCCCTTCTAGTTCCCCAAGTCCCTCTTCTCTTTATTTAGTTACCTTCCTGCACAGTTAATCACAGCTCCCCGGGTGTTTGACTAAATTGTTACATATTTTCTCATTTTCTTTGCAGTATGGGACCACTCCTTTGATCTGGGCAGCCAGGAAGGGCCACTATGACAGCGTCATGCACCTTCTGGCCAACGGGGCCGATGTGGACCAAGAAGGAGCGGTAAGTAGATTGTCTGTGAATGGTTGTTTACTATTCGTCAGTAGCATTCAATAGAGATCTAGTGGAAGAACTACAATTGTAGTTTTAAATAGTTATATACAAAACATATATATTTATAAATAACACAGTTTTGAACATTTTTAATTGAGGTACATCTGTCAAGATTGAAGTACAATATGATATTTTCATTGATCAAATAATAAAATGATGATGATTTGAAAGGGTAACTATGGTATTTTTCATTCATTCATACATTTCACACTCTTTTCTCATGTTTTGGTGTCCAAGTGATGAATGGGGACAACAATTTGTGAACTTGGTCCAGCATCACGCTGTAACTGGCAGCCACCCAACGAGCTGCGAGCGTAAATGTAACGTTAGGTTCACTAAAGGAGCTTGTTTTTGCCACTAGCGGGTTCAGATCGTTAGTATAAGTGTCAGATAACATTATGGAAAGGACCCTTGTTAGTCCCGTTCAACGAAAAGTCTCATTGTGAATCTGAACATTGAACAGCAGCTCTTTATCCGTGTACTCTGGCTCAAATATATACGGCCGGCTATCAAATTCAAAGCCCTCGTTCACATTGTCGTAATCATCGGAATATTCAGCCACGGCATTATAAACACTTAAGCTACGCTTTCTTTGCTCCAACACAACAAACTGACAAACACCGGGACTTGCGTCTCCAACGTTGTCCTACAGCGGCACGTCACCTCGGGGTATTTCTCAACAAGACATCTCCTTGAGCGAGATTCACAGTAAATGACTGTGAGGAATTGCCTTGATGGGATTACACTGCAGCCCATGAGCAGCTGCCGTTTACGGTGCTCTCGCTCAATACTGGACCAATTCCAGAAAGTGCTGTCCCTATAGGTCGGTTAGACACAGAAACATTATTGCCGGGGTTCTTAGATACGTCTGGAGAGTCTGGAAAAATATGGAAAATTGTTATTTGAGTGCTGATGACCGCATTACAACTCCTACATGACTCTGCACGTATTTGAAATAGTATATTATTTGGTAGTGTTTCAATATTTGATTTGGTAAACTGAACAGGTAGCTTAACAGCTGAGCAAGTCTAATTTTGTTTTGGGTTCATCGTGGGTGCCATGACAAACTAAGCGGCCTGTTCTCGCCCGAGTATAATCAAGATTTAATGCTCCCAAGCGCCACCAACTCATTAGTAAACGGCAATATTAAATAATTGATTGCATCTATGACACAGCGCATCTGTGCTCCTTCGAGTCATGTTGCATCTGTGCTGTCACCAACTGAAAAATGTGATAGTTCGATACATAGCATCAATAATCAGTGGGAACTAGAGTAGCTAATGTTGCAGAGCAATTCATTTAGATGTGATTTAGAGACTCTAGTGCCCAGACAAATATATGAGTTATTGGGCTCGCTGGACAATATATCAATGAAATCGACTGATAACATTTTGGAAAAACAATTTGTTAATCTCCAGCCATAAATTATTGACCGTGTGCTATATTGAACACCAACCAAAAACCCCGAACACCCAGTCAAGTAGAAAGAAACATCTGTAGTTTTGAAATGTTTGGGTTACATTGACCCTGAAATTTGCTCATTTAAATAGCTTCCTCTTTGTTTTATCAGAACTCAATGACCGCTCTGATTGTGGGAGTGAAAAGCGGCTCTACAGAGGTTGTGAAGGAGCTGCTGAAGAATAACCCAAATGTCAACATGACGGACAAGGATGGCAACACAGCCCTGGCCATCGCTGCCAAGGACGGTCACACCGAGATCGTACAGGACCTGCTGGATGCCGGCACCTACGTCAACATCCTGGACAGGGTGAGGCCACCCTGCAGCAGCACAACAGCTGTTTGATGGTGTGGAAGACTAGTTGATATGTAATACAATATGAATGAAATGCAATTCATGTGTTTCCCTTTCTGTCTCTCTTTCACCATCTCTGTCAGAGTGGGGAGACGATGCTGATTGGAGCCGTGAGAGGAGGTCATGTGGAGATAGTTCGAGCTCTGCTGAACAAATACGCTGATATTGACGTCCGGGGCCTGGTGAGAGCTCCTCTCCCACTGTCTTTGCTGCCTTGTTAATGTTTAAAAACAGGCATGAGGCCTTCTTGTGTTCTCTATGTGATATGTCACACTGCTACTCCATACTGTTTAGTTCTGTTGTTTCTTGGTAAAGTGACTTTTAATCCACGGGATCACACAAATATACACGCATATTATTGCTATGTAAACAGACACTCCTTGATGCCCTGTACATGTGTGTTTGTGTGTATAAATATATACAGTATTTCTCTCTATATATATATATATATACACACAATACAGTTTCTTTGTTCAAAGATAAACATGATAGTTTTGTCCTTTCCATGTCAGGATGGAAAGACTGCCCTCTACTGGGCAGTGGAGAAAGGCAACGCCACCATGGTGAGAGACATCCTGCAGTGTAACCCTGACACTGAGAGCTGCACTAAGGTACGGCACACTCAGTCGTGAAGGAGTCGAACGTACTCTCTGTTGTCCTTTGAATTCCTTCATTGTTATTTCCAAAGTATCATGTTCCTCTGATGACCAAAACAACCAGACAACCGTGAATATCTCCTTATAACAGCCTACCGTAGGCTTTATTCCTTTCTTTCTTTCTAAATAAAACTATTGTGTGTAAGCAGTGGTATGTTTTTCACTTATGTGGTGTTGATTCATTGTAAATGTAAAATTCAGAATGATATTGATGATGTGTGCTGTTGCATTTCAGGAGGGAGAGACCCCACTCATCAAAGCCACAAAGATGAGGAGCATAGAGATAGTGGAGCTCCTGCTAGATAAAGGAGCCAAGGTGTCTGCAGTGGAAAAGGTACTTTTTAAAACATACTTGCACAGTACATACAACAGTACTTTTATTATATTTTTTAGTTTAGTGGTCTGAGGGTTTCTTTTTTTGAGTGTTTTCCAGATAGCTATTCCGTATTTTTCTCCCTTCAGAAAGGAGACACACCCCTCCACATCGCCATTCGAGGCCGCAGCCGGAAGTTGGCTGAGCTGCTGCTGAGGAACCCTAAAGATGGCCGCCTGCTTTACCGCCCAAACAAAGCCGGGGAGACGCCGTACAACATCGACTGCACCCACCAGAAAAGCATCCTCACACAGATATTTGGAGCCAGTATGAACCATTTTTCCTTTTCATTCAGGACGAATTGTGTGACAAAATATGCTCTTTGCATTGTACTGAAATCAGAAAATAATGAACAGCTTTACTTTGTCTTCCCTTATCTTCTTCTGCACTATTTAACTGTTTCTGTCTCTCCTATTCTCTCTCAGAGCACCTCGGCCCCTCCGAGTCCGACGGAGACATGTTGGGTTATGACCTGTATAGCAGCGCTCTAGCAGACATCCTTAGTGAGCCCACCATGCAGCCACCTATCTGTGTTGGCCTTTACGCTCAGTGGGGCAGCGGGAAGTCTTTCCTTCTCAAGAAACTGGAGGGTGAGTAAGCCCACAGCATTCAAAAACAGTCTCATAAAAACATGAAAAGTACTTATTGGGAAAATTAGCTTTGTGGATGGTGCCTTTCCTCCGTTTCTCTTAAACCTTCTGTAACACTTTATGTATGTCTAGAAAAGAGTGGGGACCCTAAATAGGTTTGTTCTTATATATATCCTCACATATTTTTTTTATCTTCCGTATACTTGATTGAAATATGTGACATGAGATATTTTTTCCCCTTCCTCTTGTCCGTCAGATGAGATGAAGACCTTCGCGGGCCAGCAGATAGAGCCATTGTTCCAGTTCTCGTGGCTGGTGGTCTTTCTCACGCTGCTACTCTGCGGCTCAGTGGCCTTGCTTCTGGGCTTTACCGTCGATCCCCAGCTGGCTATCGCCGTCTCCCTCAGCCTCCTCGCTCTAATCTACATCTTTTTTGGTGAGGAGACCGATGAGCTAGAAATGCAACACTGGTGTTAAAGATGAACCTTTTCTGTATGATGCGTTTGAAACAGCTTTTCCTCACTAGAGCGTGCTGTTATACAACCAACATGAACTTCTTAACTTATCATTGTTATTGATTTTTTTTTAAAGAAGACAACTTAGTGATGTTTATGAAAAGGACTTAACGGTTGAACCTCTGCTGTCTCCAGTGTTGGTGTACTTCGGAAGTCGGCGTGAGAGGGAGAGCTGGCGCTGGGCGTGGGTCATCAGCACCCGTCTGGCTCGCCAGGTCGGTTACCTGGAGCTGCTGCTCAAACTGATGTTTGTCAACCCCCCCGAACTTCCTGAGCAGACCACCCGCGCACTGCCTGTCAGGTGACAGTGACACACACACACACAAATACACACACTAACTGCTATCATTTCCTCAGGTCAAAGACAAAACAAATTGCAGTCTCACTCTGCATTTATTATGAGTTTTAAAACTCCACAGGTAGAATAGTACCATTGATTATTACATCTGTTATTGCAATTTTAACAATCTTGTTCAAATGAATACTTAAGTCCCAGTCCCAGCTGAAGTTTGCTGTGTAACTGAACAATTAAAAGCATTGTTTCTGTTTCTCACACAGGTTCTTGTTCACCGACTATAATCGTCTGTCCAGTGTCGGAGGGGAGACCTCCATGGCTGAGATGATCGCCACGCTCTCTGATGCCTGCGAGAGGGAGTTTGGCTTCATGGCCACCAGACTCTTCAGGGTTTTCAAGAAAGATGAGATCCAAGGTTTCTATCTTTGACTTTAGATGCCAGTCATGTAATGTTTGTTTCAGCCAGCACACAAAGTCACAATCAGATCTGGAGTTGATATTAAAAATCAATGGTTTAGATAGTTTTTACTCCATTCTTCCTCAAATGGTCTTAATATGTGCATAATTTATGGTAATCCAATGTGCATAGAAAATTGTATATTTTAATCGACATGCGTCTCTCTCACATTATCCTCTACCTTCCTCAGGTAAGAAGTGGAAGAAGACATGTTGTGTTCCCTCATTCGTGCTGTTTGCCTTGACACTGGGATGCCTGATCACCGGTATAGCCCTGTTGGCCATCTTTAAGGTAGGTTAGAGGAATGAATCGGTGACACTTGAGTTTAAACAGCGTGCCTTCTTACCACAAGGGCACCGGACGGCCTAGTAATCCGCTTCAACACTTTTATTTCCCAGGTGGACCCTGATAATTTGACAGTAAATGCAGTGCTGATAGCCATGGCCAGTGTGGTGGGCCTGGCCTTACTGCTCAACTGTAAGACCTGGTGGCAGGTGGCCGACTCCGTCCTCAACTCCCAGAGGAAACGGCTGCACAGTGCTGCCGACAACTTGCATAGGCTCAAGAGTGAAGGATTTATGAAGGTAGACTAATAGACTTTATTCATTGTACCCAGTCAAATGCAAACCGTTCGACTTCCTGTTTTCATGGATAAAGGGGCATTCCATTTGCTTGTGAAGTCACGACACTGTAGTTCCCAATCCAATCAATTTCCCCTTTCCTTGTTTTTGAGACATTGATTTTCTTCCCCTGTCTCACACCAGGTTCTGAAGCAGGAAGTGGAGCTAATGTCAAAAATGGCCAAAACCATTGATGGCTTTACCCAGAACCAGACTCGCATGACCGTCATCATCGACGGACTGGACGCCTGTGAGCAGGACAAAGTTCTGCAGATGCTGGACACGGTGTGTGTTTGCACATGCTTCTGTGCTTAGGAACATAAATGATGAGTGCAGCTTTCCTATTGGCTGATGAGCAATTACACTTTTCAACAACATCTGTCCCTCAAACAAATGGCTGCTGCTATATGGCCTTAACTCTCCGTGGGTCTTTCGCCTGTGCACACAGCGCCCACACATCTCCGGCACTGTGCCGCCACCCAGCTGCCTAAGCGCGCCTCCAACTTGAGATCCTTCCTCTCAGCTGCTGTAATAAAATTTCCTTAAGCCAAATGTTGTTATTTGATGAAGTAATCCCAGTGAAGATGGCAACCTCCTGTGTGCGAATGTAATATTTTTTACAAGCACCCTCTAGTCACTCTGAAACCATCCTGTGTTCAGCAATTCAAACACTTTGAAATACACATTTCTGTATAAGTTACATAATTTAACATACCAAATGAAGTGCATTAAAGAAGCAGCTCATGTGGTGGAGCCGTAGTTGATGCTCCTATGGGAGGAGGGGTTAACAAACCATGTATGCATGAAGCACAAATCAATGTCCTGCGACACTTGGACAATGCCCCTTAGTTGGCAAAGTGGGAAATCCCCAACACCATGTGCTCTCACAAGAGTCGTTAAGTTTAAGTTCCACAGCTGACTGTTGCCTCGAGCTGTCGTGTTATTGTCGAACTTGCTAACTTGTAAACTTCCCATTTTTACATTAAAGTACTGGACACTCCACAGAGGGATCTGCTGTGTTAGCAACACTGTAGAGACCCTGAAAGCATCATTTTATTTCCTTTTTACCAACTCACAGTTTCTCGTTCCAGGTGAGGGTACTCTTCTCCAAAGGCCCTTTTATCTCCATCTTTGCCAGTGACCCCCATATTATCATCAAAGCCATCAACCAAAACCTCAACAGTGTGCTGAGAGACTCCAACATCAACGGGCATGACTACATGAGGAACATCGTCCACCTGCCGGTATTCCTCAACAGCAGAGGTCTCAGCGCGGCCAAAAGGCTCTGCCTGGCAGCGCCTGTCAATGGAGAGACCTCGTCCGCTGAGGGTAAAGGACAACGGCAAATATACAACATATTGTAAACGCATATATGAGGATTGCACAGATACAGTTCTATTTAAATAGAGACTTGAAATGTGTTTATTCAAGGGCAACTCTTTCTGTCTTTTGTCTGTCCAGGATGGCATGAAGACATGGACAGGAAGATGTCTCAGAGCAGCGTGGACCAGGCCAAGTTTGGCAGCAAGAACGCCCTAAACCGCAGGGTAACAGTTCATCCAGTCGTGTTTATCTGAATAGACCAATATGTCATACAATGTTTTGTTGGGGTCGACAGCCCCAACCCCAACAATGCTCTTTAATAATGAAGACAAGGAAGAACTATCGCACACCAACAAAATGCTATGGGAGAGGCAATCCAAAGAGTAATCCCCCCCCCCCCCCCACCCACCCCGCTTCTAGAACACTGGGGATGCAATATGAGACATGGATGGAGGAATCATAATAGCAATAGACAGGCAATAATAGAAATACAAGTCCAAGAGTAGGATTATAATGAATCCAAATAAGATACACCAAGGGCAATATATCAAGCGTTGTTTATTCTACTTGTCACCCTAAATATACACAGTTCACACCCGGCCCGAACCCGTGACAACAATCAAAACACAATAACAACAAATTGCAGAGAATGTTTTGATACCAAATTAAAGCGGAGACAGAAAAAATAGTTTGTTTCCCCACCACACTCATTCCCACCACACTCAAATGTTATCCGGAAATATCATACAGTTGGAAATGAATGCTTAATGTCTTCACATTAATCAAACAAAATTAAAATGCAGTTAGTTCCACCATCATGCGAGCAGAAAACATTGGATTAGCTTAAGAGATGTTGCCTTTAGAGATCCTCACTGCTCTCTCTTTTCGGCCTCCTCCCTGAAAGGGGGGGGGGGGGGGCAGTGCAGGCGTGGTGTTTGGCAGGCAGTGCAGAGGCCAGAGGACAGAAGGAGACACACGGATACAAAAGGAGAGGTGCTCGGTATGCGGCCAAGGTTCCTGGTGTAATTGATGTAATGACTGTTTATCCTTCCTGCTGCGTTGCCACAGCCTAATGACTAGGCCTAGCAGCAGTGGGTCCCTGTGACAAAACACTGGCACCAGGTCTGCTGGCAGGAGGCTAAGTGACTGCTGCTGTTGCTGATGCCTCCCCCCCTCCCCCCCCCTGCGAGACCTTCTCCCTCCCCCTCCTTCCTTCCCGCCTCCCTCTCTTGTTTGTTTGTTTGACATTTGTTTGTACCTCGGGTTTATCTTGTACCCTCAATTATTGTTGTTGGCCCTTCTATTACGGGGCGGCGTGCTCTTTTTATTTGCCCTCTGCCACGAGCTAGCTCTTGGCAGGAGGGCCCTCTTTCTACAAGTGGAGATTAAAATGAGGGCAGAAGGGGAAAATGAATTAGTGGCTCTCCATTTTCATGTGGCTTTTGAAGTCGTGGATGGCATTAGGAATATCTCTCCCATCTTATTTCCACTTATTGTGATTAAATGAATCCTCATTTTCTAAGGAAAGTAATTATTTCCTGGAACTCTGGATTCAGTTCCCAAAAATAGAAGAACCACCTTTTTAAAATATAATTTTTTTTTCAAAATGAAAGAGAAGAAGAACCCTTAGAAATGAGCAGTTACAAAACGAATCATCGGAATGAACCAATGAAGCTGTAAAGCTACAGTAAAGATCAATGTACATATTAAAAAGTCAGCCACAATGGACTGTCTGTATGGTGGATCTTTTCAGTTCTCACTGAGTGCTGGCCATATGTGTCATCTCCCCATGAAAGGGGTCATGATACCGGCATTACGACTTCAAAGTCAACCAAAAGCCTCGCCTTGGCTCATGACCATGTCGGCCGCCTGATATCATCACAGATGTCCTCTGCTAGATCTGTGTCAATAGCTCGCTTTCGTGTCGTGACTGTTCGGCTCCGGACAGTGGCTCTTTGATTTGTATTTGCAGCAAATCGTATGTTACGATCTCTTTTTTTTATTTTTTTTTTTTATTTTTTTTTTTTAATGGAAAAGATAGATGATGTAGAAGGGAAGACTGAAGAAGCTGATCGTTAGAGGGACAAAATGAAAGAAACAAAATGCTTTTAATTGGTTACACTCGCACCTTATAGGGTTAAGATGCAGACCTTTGCTGGATTATTATCTTTACAGTCGGCACAAGTTGAACTGCCATTGATATGTTACCATAAGATAATTTAATGTAAGTACAGTTAAAGATGGACAGGGTGCATAGGAAGTCAAGAATATGAGCACACGAGGCCCTATCCACACATCTACCTGTATTCCCTAATATAGTATCACAGCATACGGTTAGACAGTGGCCTGGCCTGAGACGACATGGTGATCCTGACACGCCTCTCTCCTGTCTCATGATGCACAGCTTGCAGGGATGACACCCAAGTAATAAAACGTACAAGGGTCAAGAGTAATGTTCACGCTTTTGTTTCACGTTAGCTGCGGCTGGACTGGTTTTATATCTGTGACTGTAAGACAGCTCCTGCTTTCCAACTGATAAACAGATGTTTTTTGACAGACAGGATTGCTTGTTTCCACATAATAGTAGAAAACATAATAATGAATATAATTGCCATTCTGATACGTTGAAGTTCCATTAAAACAACTCAAAGTCGTGGAAACATGTTAATCTTTGCTAAGCCAGCGGAAAAACATGACGACGTGTCAAATTCTCGCTCTTGTGATCTTTGAATTTCTGCCTCTCTTTGTGAACTCGCTCTGTTCAGGACACGTACCGGCGTCGGCAGATGCAGAGGACCATCACCAGACAGATGTCCTTCGACCTGACCAAGCTGCTGGTGACCGAGGACTGGTTCAGCGACATCAGCCCACAGACCATGAGGAGGCTGCTCAACATCGTTTCTATCACCGGTAAAGAATAAACTGACCTCTTCTCGTTATATTAACAAACTACATTGTGTTTAAACTGCAACATTTAAGTTATTTATCCCTAATATAGCTAATTTTACAGGGATGGAATGGTAAAGATTCGTCATCCTGAGGATGGAGGATGAAGAAGATACACAAACAAAGCTCTGATGAGATTTAGTGTATTCAAAATATATTGTATTTGATTTATGACGTATAACATATTATGGTTGACATCATCTTGACATTTCTTAGATCCTGATAACAGACCACTGACTTCTAATGCTGTGTTCAAGCTATGAGCGTCACAGCAACGGGCTACAAGTCATTTTAAGTTAAAGCCGGTGACTTGAAGCTACAAACTGAGGCCCCGTCACTCTGATTTTGTAAATGGCATTAAAAAGACACTAATGCTCTGCACCATCGTTGACAGGTCGTCTGTTGCGAGCCAATCAGATCATCTTCAACTGGGATCGTCTGGCGTCATGGATCAACCTGACAGAAGAGTGGCCTTACAGGACGTCGTGGATCATCCTCTTTTTGGAAGAGAGCGACGGAGTGTCGGACCAGATTGCTCTCAAGACGATCTATGAGAGGTACAACACACGAGCACACAGACGGACACAATCACCCCGTCCGAAGTCATCTGATCTACGAGCTGTACAGGCTTATTCAATCCACCTGCAGAGTTGTTTCTTTGTTACTTTTTGTTGTTTTACCTTGTTTTATTTGCCTTCCATCATTTTCTTTCTAATGCAGAGCATAACATTAGCAGGCTGAGGTTATCTTTAACATAAGATAATGAGGTCATATGAGTTTAGCTTAAGGAGGTAAACGGCGTGAATCCCTGCAGAGTTGCTTCTGTGTCCTGACCGTCCAGAGGAGATCAAAAAGCCAGAACAGGATCTAAGAGCTGGAGTCAATAAATAATAACAATTCTTGATATTCTTGATATTCTTTGATATAAACAACTGTGACCAGCAGATGGCAGTAGATGATTTAGTTTTTGAGGACTACAGTAATCCAGAGTCTCTGCCAATGGCTTTGAAGAGCCACACTAATTGGCAACTGACCGACATATTTTGTAATTGATGATAGTGCACAAGGTACATGATGTCTGTATTATAACCTGGACTTCTCCAGACTCACGAAGGGACGCATTTCTTTCAAACTGGACACGGGACAGTTGGCGCTCAGACATGTTTGGTTGAGCTGTGAAGTGTGTCTCTTGTGTGTTGACAGTGTGATTGTTCATGCGCTGTACGTATGTGTGTGTGTGTGTGTGTGGTCATGGATGCTTTTAGGCCTGTTCACCGCAGACGAGAGGAGGAGATCGACACAGGCCTGAGAAGCTGGGTGTGTGCGCTGCTGTACATCAGTCGATGGCCTTTAAAGGTTGCACTCTGTCACAATACACTAGTGCCTACGACTCCTGCGGCAGGAAAGCGTCACAGACAGTTACTGTCAGCCGGTCGGCCAGCTAGATTCAGCAGACAATCCTCCCTCCCCCCGTCTCCAAGGCAAACCACTGCCTCATTAGACCAGGTTTATGCTGCTTGGTTTTCAGAGGACAATAGGCATTACTTTCCAATTTATTTTTTTATACGGTAGTTACATGGGACAGTGAGAGGGGAGGACAGAATACAAGGTTTTAGATGAGAAACATCTCAGTCACAAGGCTGTAACTGAATCATTTTTGCTGAATGTGATGATTGCTGACTTTTATAAAAAAAATACGTCACTACACTTCTCTATTATATATCTTTATCATGTTTAAGTATAGTGGACACCCTAAAGGAAACGTCCACACTTTTACCATAATTACTGTGGAAAATAAACCTTAAGAGATATAATTATACACTGGTACAGCCATGACATTCTGCAGTGTTTCTACATCTCACCAATGGCCTGGATTCAAGTGTCTTCACCACAGCATTTGGATTGTGCTTACGCTGCTCATTAGACTTAATACAGTCTTGTTTTTGACCAACGGTCCTGTCTTCCTTTATCTTCGTCCTCATTGGGTGTCTTTCCAAATGGCTGCTCTGTTCTGCAGCGGCCTTAATGATGATGACAGGAAGCCTCAAACAGGCTAAACACGACGCCTCGCCTAGAGGCCTTATCTCTTGCACTAATCTTCCGCTGATAAGACTCAGGCCTCTGTCTGTGTATCTTTTTTTTTTGTCTTTTCTTCCCAGCACAGCACACGCGCACACACGCACATCACATCTTATTTCGTAGCTCAAATTAAACCAGTGGACCACTTCCTTTATCTTTATAGTTAACATCGTTTTTTCTGTTACCGCATGACCCGTGCTGGTCAGATCGCGTGTGTGTGTGTGTGCACGCTTCGTTTGTGTTTTAACACGCATACATGGGACGTGTTGTTGTGCGCGGCCATTTTTACACGGTGGAACTGCACATCCTCTGGGCATTACTAAGTGAATATATTAGTGGTGAAGTGAACATGGGGGTGAGTCAGCCCCTTATAGGTCAACTGTCGCCCTGCATCTCAGTCACAAAGCGGCACGCTCTTCCTCCTCTCTCCTCTTTGTAAGGCTTACAGCTCAGCAGTACACAGAGCATCAGAAATATTACATTTTGGAAATCATAGTCTGGATCAGTCATACCACTAAAGTGGGTCTAAAAAGATCTTTTTGGTTTCCATCCCCCTCTTTGAAAAGGTTAAAAAGCTAAATCCGGTTTGATACTTGCCTGTGATGTTTTAAATGTGGCTCAGCTCAGACTTCATGCCCTACCTAACCCTCTAAATTAACACTAAATTGACCCACACACTACTAAACCACGGGCACATATTGCACGAGTTTCATAAAGTGCCTCTCAGTGATGGAGGTGGCAGCTTCTGTCTGTGGCGTGTACCTGAACTCCTAGAATAGAGAGAGAGAAAATGAAAACACACGCCCACCTTCCCCTCATATCTCACACAAACACACACGCTTTTCAAAACAGCTAAAAGCTGTTTTTAGCAACTTGCCTGGCAATAACAAGTGCCATGAAGGGCTGTGAAGTGTCATTGTAGGACACGGCGTGAAGAGAAATGCGTAGCGCTAATTCCCGTAGTGGGAGTGAGCCAGCACAGCCTCTCCTAATCTGATGGGGAATGTGTAATCGGTTAATAACCTCAGCGATTTCTATCATTAACGGTAAAATGGGGGGGGGGGGCACAGACTAATGCAAGGTAGCAGGGGGAGAGAGCCGTGTAACAAAGATGGCGCTGTCTGTCGGTAGGAGATATTGGCTCAAAGCAATCACACACACGCACACAGAGTGCAGCTTAAATGTTTCTCTCACTAGTTCTGTAGCCAGCGTCGTGGCCTGCCCAACACAAAACAAAACAAGAAGTGTTTTGGACCGACCCTCATATTTGTAGCCGTCGAATTAACAGCCCTAGATCCGTGTTTCGAACAATGTTTTTTTTTTTTCTTTAAACACTAGCTAATTGAATTTGGAGCCTCCAGCCTTGTGACGATCCTTTTCAGCTGTATCGTTTCTTCCTCCTCAGTATCTCCGTCTCTTCTCAGGAGTCAGTCGTTCCTTGCTTTAGCTGCCATTAGAGGCTTAATGACTATAGCTAACCTAGCTCTATCGTGCTTCATGGTTATTGCATTGAAGCAGCCATTTCCAAAGACTGGTAATGGGCTTTCTGTATGTTTATTTCCTTGATGTTGTTTTGGAGTCATTACATTACAGGAAAAGCTTCTACTGAATAGCTAAATGTAGAGTGATTCCAGGTTTCTGAGCGAGTACCGGTTCTGGATGTTGCTCAGGGACACATCTTTGACACGGGGCGGCGGGGGTATTCTGTCACAGATCAATCACTTCCTAGACGCACCCCTTTCAGTTTGAACTCCTTTTTATCCTTCATGAGTGTTACAGCAAGGTTTGATTAACCAGAAAGGACATCCAGGAGATAGGGGCCCTCACAGTTCACCTAAAGACACTGATATCTACTTCAAAAATAACATCAGTATGTTTTCATTGATCATCGGAACGCTAACAAGCAAGGTTTTCCATAAGTTTCAAAAAGTGACATGACAGAAAAACAGATTTTTTTATGAAATAACATCATAAGGAAGCCAAAGTCAGTGAAAGAGTGTCGTGCAAAGTCATCTTTGATGCTTTTCTCATCTCATTTGAACTTTAACAATACGTGTGTGGCTCCACAGATGTGAGCACATCGGCCATATCAAACACGAGTTGATCGGGATGTCTTGAGAAAGTAAATGACGGGAAGGTTTCCTTTGTTTCTCCCCGATGCTGCTTTAGATTCACAGACAGTCTCTGGCATTCTGAACTGTGACATAACATTGGATTTCTGCCAAAGTCAGGACACCATCTCCACCTGTGATTGGTTCTTCTAGTGGAGTTGTTGCATAGAACAACTGCCGTGCTGGAAATGGGTAGAAAGTGATAAAGATTCTTAGTGCCTGGTAAAGTTCTTGCCTGACTGAAGCACAGCTTCAGAAATTCTTTCTCGGCAAGCCATTGCGATATTGTGGAGTATCTTCCACTTCAACGGTGAGGAGTGTGTATTCGGTACTGAAATGGGCGTTGTTGACAGAAAACTAATCAGTCACACAGACTAGCATGGAGGTATAAGTAAAGACAACATCAGGGGACGGGATCAGTCACTTCCTGTGTCTCTAGAAACACCTTCAAGTACTGTTCGGGAAACGGTGTCAGTCAATGTCTCTCATTTTTTGAGAGTGGTGATTTGTTTTAAGGGACATAGTTCTGTGTTTTGGTTGAGGGGTTAACATATTTGTACCTAATGATGTATGGGGGCGGGTTCAGTCGGCCCCTCAGAGAGTTTATTCTTGGATGCCAAGATCCCTTTTTCGGCACTCGAAAAAAAAAGGTGTCACTGGTCCACTGAGCAGGTTCCTGCACGGCTCTGACATCTGGTGCCCCGTCTGTGCCAGGATGCCCCCGCCGCACTCAGGAGTGTGTTTCTGGCGCTGCACCTGAATCCTCTGTTCATTACACACACACACAAACATACAAACTATTGCACATAAACACGCTAACACACACATGCACAAGTTGTGACAAACTGCATGCACGCTGTAACTGAAACAAGCACACATACACACACTATTTGCAGCTACAAGCATTTGTGATTGAACATATGCATGCACAAACCTTGTGTGTGTGTGTGTGTGTGTGTGTGTGTGTGTGGTGCACATGCAACACACACATAAACACACACCTACACATACCTCTCACACCAGTGTAAGAACATATGTCACCCCCAACTCCTCTGAGAATCAGTGTAATTAATCAGACCCTGAGATGCAGGCTGCATTAAACACACACACACACAGGAGAGAAGTTGTTGTCAGGTAAACTTGTAGTGTTTATGAAGTGCTGTTCATTGCAGTGTCACCGTGTTTGCCAATATTTGTAACACAAGTCTCAAACTCTTGATGCACTTTATGATTTTTACTCTTTTTGTCACAGCGTATGAAGAATCAGCTATTCCTCTCCTCCCTTCATGCTTTCTTCTTCTGCGTTTTGTTGTTCTGACCCGGCATTCATCAACCAAACAATCAAACCTCTCAGAGACGTGACTAGA